CTAAAGAAAAGGTGTTAATGAGATATTCAATATAGTCAGAATTTATGCGAAGAACAATTTAGATACAGCGATTACTGATTGTGAGTCAGAACTGCGGGGTGGGCATGAGACACATTACAATAAAGGAACTAAAATCTTAACAATGGTAGGTACAGCTTGGATCTAACGGATTTTATTTCATTTTTTCATTTCTTTTTTTTGAGTTAAAATGATTTTAACAACAGCATAATGATTCAAAAATGAGCTAATGAGTCGGATAAGTACAGGTAGGTATGACAATACATAATTATACACTTATAAATAAATATGCTATTTGCTTATTGATTATAATTATATCTCTTTACCAAAACATAGTTTTAGATATTTTTCACAGAATAATAATCATAGAATATTAATTTCAGATGTCTTGATGACATTGGCATTAAACAGATTGAGTAAAGATCACGAATCAATATCTGTTTTGTGCAGCTAATTACATTTGATGTTGTCACAAATTAAAATATCAATTTTATTCATAAATCCTTTGGAGATATCCTAATCTAACATAGCAATGTTGTTCCGAAAGGAAGACACACAATACATTGAAGAAAAAGTTGTGCAACGTTTTTTATTATTAAAAAGTGGCCTCATTTCTTTGTCAAATTGGATTACAACTTATAAAACAAGCCCCACAAGGGCCTTCGATATTAGTTGAGATTTCGGGCAAAAATTTCCTTTTGTTGTATCTTTAATCTATTTATTATTGGTGGTAAGAATGGATTATAAATGCCCATGTTAATGAAAAAACTCAACATTTTTTATGAAAATAAGTGTATTCTTGTACTTTTCTTATCCAACCACAATGTAAAGGATAGGTATCGATATACTGAGCTATATCGAGAACTGAATTCAACAATGTTTTTCTCTTAAACCAATTATTGAAAACATTCTTTTAAAAACACGGTATTTTATGTAATGTTGACTGATTGACAACAATTTAATGCAAAAATTATTCAGAAATATTTTGTATAACTTTTTTTTAGTTAACATTTTTTGTTTTTTAGTGCAATTGTTTTTGCTCCTTTCTACCAATTCTTGAGAATTAAATAAAATGTCTTTCCAAACCTTGTTGGAATAAAATAGCATATACAACATGTTTTAGATCTCTCAATATTATAGTTGTACAAAGGAATTTTTGGTTGATTTTAAAAAAGTATTCCAAAAATTAAAACAAAATCCCCCCAAAATAGATAAAAATCAAGATAAACCTTTTATTTCATTAACAAGCTAATTTTTTAAAATCAACCAACATTTTCTTTGTACAATTACAATATTGAAACACCTAAACGTGTTGTGTTTATGTCGTTTTCTTCCAATGAGGTTCGGAAAGATGTTTCATTTCACTCTGGAGACATGATACCAAGAACAAAACAAGTGTTAGATGACCATTAAATTGACGATGTGTAAAATTTTTAGATTTTTATGACTGGTTTATTAAGAGAGTTCACCATATCGATACCACTCCTTTTAAAAAAATTTCAAAACAAAAACTGAAACTCGATTTAGAATCTCTCGAAAAGAAGTTAATAAAGATGGATCCAGAGACTCAAGACGCACAAGTAGTGGATGTACTTTGAGTCTTTTAATCAATTGATGATTTTCAGGAGCTTCAGACCTCTCTTACTTAATGTCATATGTGAATTGACATTCACCTATCACAAGAATATGGCTTCAATCAAAATTGACTTATCTACTCTACTCATCTCATACGGACACCGAAAGTATTCCTGATCATGGACGCTATACTAGATATTGATGTGATAACTCAGAGAAATGTTGTGATGAGTTATTCTCGAAAGTCAGATTGTATTAACATTATGTCGTTATTTCTCAGAGAGAGTTATCAAGTACTGTTAATAGATTCATTGTATCCGTTGTCACCATAGACTCCGTCATTACACATGTTTCTTTGTTTAATTACTTATAAACCCAGAAAATCCTAATTGAATGGAATTTTATGTCAAACTAGATAATTCTTGATCCCATCACATCATCTTCATTACATTATGTAAGGTTTTGATAAGATTGCGCGTATATAAATAAAGTCCTTAATTGTCCACCTATTTTCATAACTTCGCCCACTTGTTACACAATTGCCTCTGTGAGAATTCCTATTACCTTAAGTAATTATCATGTACATGTGACATTGTTTAACGCATAAACATGTTCCGCAACAATCTTGATATTCTAAGAAAATCATAATTGGCAGTGTAATATCGTGTTTGACGAAACAACCTTGATAAGTGCGTCATCTTCATTCGAAAATGTTAATTGAGTCTTTAGCCCACTAGTAAACTACACAATGAATTCCATGTTGTTCAATTCACTTACATTTTACTAATTGGGTCCGCATAACAGAAAGATTTGGCACAACGTTTTTAGCTCAATGTATATAAAAACACAACGCAAAACAATTCCTAAACATGCAAAGAGTCGACATTTTTCCCCTGACATACACTTAATTAGCAACGGTTCTACTTTTCTACGATTTCCGAGATTCCTTCTACTGTACTTGTAGCAATCATAACGCGTTTCTTGAGACGATTTTTATTAAACGTAAAAAGTTATTTGCATGTCACATTTGCATTTTACGATAACCTTATGTTCAGCTGGTTTATAACATGAAAAGTAGTGCTGCTGTAAATTAGCCATCTGTGTCATGTAAAATTACCCTCTATAAAAGGTAATTTCAGTAATGTGATATTGTGCGGTATCTATATATATAAAAGGTAATTTTAACAACGTTATTCCGGACGGTATTTACGATATATAAGATAGTGTTAACAATTGGGTAATTTCAAATTACCTAGTTTATAGGGTAATTCTATGAAACCGGTGAATTGGGTCATTTACATCAACTTGGCTTGGATTGCAATTTGGAATTGTATTGTTTAAGCATTGCATATAGCATTATTGCATATTACATTGTAATTGTATGTTTTGTTTTGTATCATTGTAGTATAGAGCCATACTGTATTGTTTGCAATTGCATTGCATATATATAGTGCCATTACATTGTATATTGTATTGTATAATGTTATCGAATTGTATTGTATTATTTTACATTACATTTATTGACTTGGATTCTTTTTATAGGTTTGGTTTGAAAATGTTTCATCCGACAAGCCATCACTGCTCCATTTGGACGGCGCACAGGCCACTATCTATATCACCATGAACGTTCTGGCATCTGTCATCGGCACAGTAGGCAACCTCGCTCTAATCGTCATCCTTGTAGTGAACAAAAACTTCCAGAGGGTTGGCAGAGAATTTTTACTGAACCTAACGATATCTGATTTGACAGTGACTGCCTTTGCAAGCCCATTGTGCATCATAGGTGAATGGGTTTTGAATTATTCATCACTTTGACTAGTAAATACTGATAGCTCTATTAAAAAAGAATGGTCCTCAACATTCTTATAAAAATTGAATAAAAAGTTAAAATGGCCAAAAAGATAGTGATATGCGTTCCGCACATAAATAAAATGGCTGCCACAGTCTGATGGGAAAGAATAAACCAAACAATTTTATTGCAACACTTCTAATTGTTCTGTCAGAATCCACTGAAATTTGGGGAATATCCTCATAAGAGCGTAAAAACTTGAGTCTCAAGGAATTTATATTCTTTCTTTGTTTTATTAAAGATGGGTAACTAGGTAAACTATTATAAAACCCCATGTCATTACTAATCTTATATAAGATATATATATGCAAATCTAATTACAACCTTCAAACTATAAGTAGTAGTAGACTCAAGTACCATAACAGATATGAAATATCAATCATCTACTTCTATTATTGAATATGGGACATCACAAGGTTCTGTTTTAGGTCCCCTCTTATTTAATATCTTTATAAATGATATTTATTTAACATCAGATAAACTCAAATTTGTTCTCTATGCAGATGATACTGTTGACCGATGACAACATTAATAATCTGAAGAAAGACATAAATGAAGAATTAAAAAAGGTTCATGACTGGATGATTTCTAATAGATTAACACTCAATGTAGAAAAAACTAAATTTATGATTTTTGACATGTTCGAATAAATGATCAAACATGATCTTATTAATCAATACCAGTGATACTTTGTGCTTCCATCTGTTTAATTTTCAATTAAATTCAAATTGCTTCTGGTTTATAAGTAAAACATGATTGTTGAAAATCTAATTAGCCATGAAATGTGGGGTGTCTTTTTCATGTATTGTATGAAACATTGTATGATTGATTTTAATTTAATAAATTGAATTGTATTGTATTGGATAAGAACTCTCCCAAGCTAGGCTGAAAGGGTTAAATTATGTCCACCTAAGCTCCTTTTAAATCATAATCACTTCTTGTCTTATCTCACGGCGCTGAGCCATGCGTCAACAGTATATAAGTACATGGGCATTCAACTAGAGTTGAATGTCCATGGTATATACTATAAAAGCATTATTTCCCAGCCTCCGGTTTCGATTATTAACTTTCGATTATTGAAAATTCAAATCCTTCTTGAAACGCCTAGGTAGTGCTTGCTTAAAGTGGTTTACTTCATCTAAACACCAAAAAAACTGGGCGTATCATATATTTCAAATTTGACATGGAGAAGTTGATATAGAGCAAGACAATGATAATTTAAATTCAATGATAACGCATCATGATAGACCATGATATCTCATTTCTTCTCAGCCTTGAGATGTTGTAGGTGAAACAGAAAGATGCTATGAGTATCAGAATGATGATAACGGTTCCAACCGTATCGTGGTCGTGCCATTGCTTCCGCTCATGCGTATACCAAGAGTGAAGGAACTCTTTTACAGACAAAATTAGAGAAACCCACCGGCGTGTACTCTGTACTATTCTGATTCACATCTTTTCCAAACAAGCATTATGAAAAGAATTATAAAAAATCTTAAAAGGGCCTAATCAGCCCGTGATAATGGTACACTATAAGTGATAACTTTGTCTTTTTCAGGTGCGGTGAAAGGGGAAGCGTATTTTGCCACAGTTCCTTACTTTTGCGAAATCGTAGCGGCTATGTGTTTGACGTCATGTTTTACAACATTCGTTAGCCTCCTATTTTTCACAATTAGTCGCACCTTCTTCATCAGAAGCAGGCATCGTTATCTCGACTTCGCCACCAAGCCACGTTTGATCGCGTTATGTCTGATTTGTTGGGTCATCGGGCTGACATTGGAAGCCCCAAATATTTTTGGATGGGGCCATACGTTCGATCAGAAGAGTCACTCGTGCATGTGGGATAGGACTGGCAACTACAAATACACGCTCTTCATTAGTATTGGTTGTATAGGTGCGCCTCTTGTGGCGATGGCGGTCTGTCACGTTCTAACTTTTAAGCATATTCGGGATGCTAAATTGATGGTGTATAATCACAGCCTCATGAAGACATGGAAGGAAACCGTCAAATCGAGTAGGATCTTGTTGATTTTCTTTGCTGCTTTCGCCATCTGTTGGATACCGTATACGCTTGTGATCGCAATTGATCCACTTGATGAACTCCCGATGGAAGTTCATCTCTGGGTCACATTTCTCGCTCATACGCATTCGACATTGCATCCGATTATTTTGATCTTTACAAACAAGAGGATGCGCAAATTCTTCAATTTCAAAAACAGAGTCTCGCCCGTTGAAATGGATGTTAAAAAACACGTGTTTCAGACATCATCTAGCCTTAAAGGAAATGGAGATGATGTAAAACAATCTATTGGTGAAGCGAATTCATATACTGCGCAAAGTACTTGCACTATATGAACTGGTTTCCAAAATGAATGCACCTAGTCCATCAAGCACTGTGCCATAGAATGGATATCATTGGACTGGTGCCTATGATCTAAGAAGTCAACTGGAACTCCCATGTCCCAGGCTATACTAGATACATGTAGTCTAGTAGGAAGGAATTGGTCCGTGAACCTAAGCTCAATAAATCTTTATTCACTATTTTATATATGGTGTTTTGGGAATTGTGAGCTTAACATTGCCAACTTGTGTCCCATGGTGTCCGTTATTGAAAGGTTTTGCCCCCATTACCAGTACTTAATAGACTAAAAGGTATGTCCAATGAATTTATTTAATTATATGTATAAACCACAAAGCTATCATTAAGGACAATGCGACACAAAATGTTATTTAATCATTAACATCCTTGGTAATGTAATGCTCGTGGTAGGCTTAGCAACCAGAGGGCAAAGTACAAAAGATAGCTTATCGTAGTCTGATTGTTATTACACACTGAGTAATAAGGAACACAACACAATTTAAGCCATTAGCTGTGAATTAACGTTTGCCATTCCACAAATCTAAGGATAGCCTCCTGCGTTCATTTTCGATTTTTAAAATGGCGTGCACTGCTCGAGCGAATGAGGACCTGAAACGGAAGTATGAAAAACTGAAGCATAACACAAATGATCCAAGGCTTATGTTTCGAGCACACGTCCTGTCCTCAGGGGTAAACGGAATTAATACGCTAAGGAGGGCCTTCAAATTAACCGATCTTGACGGCAATGGAAGACTCTGTTTTAAGGAATTTAAACATGGACTTCATGATTCGGGACTTTTGCAAAAATTGGAACCCGAACAAGTACAACAATTATTTGACGATATTGATCGAGACGGAAGTGGAGCTATTGACATGGAAGAACTGTTCATCGCTCTGAGACCGCCTATGTCTCGACACCGGAAGGAGCTGATTGCATTGGCGTTCAAAAAGTTTGACAGAGATGGCGACGGTATGGTGACCATCAAGGATTTAAAGGGACGCTATAACGTCATAAATCACCCCAAGTTTAAAAATGGGCAATGGACAGAGGAACAATGTCTCCGGGAATTTCTTGATAGTTTTGATCTTAAAGACAAAGACGGAATCATCACCGAGGAAGAGTTTATGGACTATTATGCTGGATTGAGCGCATCCATCGAACACGATGCATATTTTGATCTCATGATGCGATCTGCATGGAAACTCTAAACGTTTTAACGTTCGGTTTTCACGATGAACATAAACAGTTCATGCTGACTTTGTTATTTGAAATTTCTAATATCCCCCTAGACATTAACTTCAGACTTAGCTTTGAACTAATTAAAATGCTGTTTGTCATGATCACATACTGTAGCATGTTTTAAGAGCATTTCGAAAATGAAAGCAATAACTACTATTATTTGTAATTATCAAAATGTTAATCATTTCTTAGACGCAATAGTTGGATGATTATGGGTTAGTGCTAATTTTAGAATTATTATTTGACAGTATAATACTTTTAATAATCTTATAATACTGCACATTGATTTCACGGGCATGTTGTATTCGCGTGTGAATACCACTCGCAAACAGCGCGAAAATTACATGCAGGCGAATATTATGTGTTTCACAGTATTTGAATGATTAATGTTGAACATAAAATCTAAGTGGAGGGAGGACATGTTCAGAGACAACTGTTTCGGAACCTTGCTACGCCCTTGCTACGCACGTGATACGGAAGTACGCAATTGTCAATTGCATCGATTGAACGAACAAGTAAAACGTTATAAATTATTATAATGATTACTGAACCAACAGTACTGTGTATCGAATATATTAACTTAGCAGAAGTATCAGTCACCAATCTCGCGTAATAAACTTACTCAATCAATCCAGGATTCATATATTAGTACTCGACGCACTAACTATATTGGTAATCCAGCGTAGTTTTACATTTAGAGTCGATTCTCGCAACCAATCAAATCAAGGCTTGCTGTATCACGTTTTCACCTGCGGTATATGTCATATTCACCAGCGGTATATGGCATATTCCGCAAGTGAGTATAACATATTCCGCAGGTGAGTATCGGGTATTCACTGAAATCAATGTATCGCATATTCACTGCGGAATATCGCATACTCACCTGCGGAATATGCCATGAATGTTGCCGCGCAACCATCAATGTTTGCCATATACTGCATAACATCGTATATCTTCATGGTTGAACCGAACCCTTGATTGGATTAACATTTGTTTCTGCATATACTGTTACGCAGTAAACACGATACAAAAATATGTCATATTCCGCAACGAATATGGCATATTCACTTGCGGTGTATGACATATTCACCTGCGGTATATGGCAAACAGCACACTGACCAATGAGAACGTGATACGGAAGTACGCAATTGTCAATTGCGTAGATTGAACGAACAAGTAAAACGTTATAAATTATTATAATGATTACTGAATCAACAGTACTGTGTATCGAATATATTAACTTAGCAGAAGTATCAGTCTCCAATCTCGCGTAATAAACTTACTCAATCAATCCAGGATTCGTGTATTAGTACTCGACGCACTAACTATATTGGTAATCCAGCGTAGTTTTACATTTAGAGTCGATTCTTGCAACCAATCAAATCAAGGCTTTCTGTATCACATTTTCATTTATATGTCATATTCACCTGAAGTATATGGCGGGTATTCACTGAATTCAATGTATTGCATATTCACTGCGGAATATCGCATATTCACCTGCGGGATATGCCATATACCGCAGGTGAGTATGGCATATTCACCCGTATCACAAATACCGCACAACCATGAATGTATGCCATATACCGCGTAACATATACTACTAAAATGCTACATGATTGTGTGTTAATGTGCTCAACCTGAGACATGGGAATGTAATAATAAGATATCAAAATCACGTTTTCTATCTTTTCTTTTGTATGCTTTGTGTGTTCTACTTTAATGCAACATGAGCGTTGCCTCAGCAATTTCGTGTTTCATGCTTGGGAATCTTTCACAAATAATACTTTGTGGTCCGTTAAATATCGGGGGCTGCAGTGATCGCTAATCTAAGATTGAAAAAATAACACATGTGCAGTATATATACGAAATACGAGTGACAGTGACCAGTGACTGTCCGAAATTACCTGTGTAAATGTCAAGCACTCTCTCGAATACAGAGCCCCGGAAATTCACTTGTTCAACTTGGTCAAAGTATAAATGTCTATGTACAAGGCGACGATGCATGAAGATAAAACAAAACAAATGTTTTAATTAAAAACGTTAGTTCTTTTCAGTTACTAAGATAGATGGCACATCAGTCTATCAGTATAAAACATTTCAAACCTAATAAGCTTTCAAACATGATAGGCTTTTTCACATGATAAGCTTTCACACAGAGGTACAAAAACGGAGGTCCTAATAATCTCTTCTTGAATAATAAGGCATGGCGTCAATTTTAATAGTCTTGTTTATTATCTTCAATGTCTGACAAAATGATATACAACTTTTGTGTATTTTTGATAATGGCCCGTTAATTAATGTTATACTTTATTAATGCTATGTACATTTACGTTTGATGTTACATTAAAAAAAGTTTAAGACCCAAATTATTCATTTGTAAGCAAAGTTCATTAATATTTTAAACTCACTTGTGTCTTATAATTTTACAATTTTTTATGCTGTATTTACTTTAATTTGTAGTTTAGTCTGGTTTAAAGGGAGAATCAGACCCATTGGAAGTGACAAAATTGCAAAAAACATGTACAGTTGACCTCCAAAACATATTTAACGTTGATGTGGCTAAAAGGGGCATTGGGAGAAAGTGGCCATTGTGGCATCAAAACAAGAACACCAGGGGCCGTGAATTCGTTCGATCCCCAATCCAATCCAGATAAATTTTATCTTTTGGGACAAATCTTGGATTACTATGAGGAGGAATTCCCAAGATTTATCCAATTTGCATTGGAATTCGGATAAAATTTATCCAAAAAGTAATCCACCTCAAGAGGTGGATTGAGATTTATCCTGAGATTAATCCCAGGATCGTACGAATTCACCGATTTTTGGATAAATTCTTGGATTAATCCCACAATGCATCATTACCATGACGAAATTTATCCAGATCGGATCGCAGATCGTACGAATTCACGGCCCCAGATGTTATACACATTATCAGTGATCAAAGATGTCGCAACAGTTCTCCCTTAGTGGCCCATGTAATTCCACAGCTAAAATAATATTTATTCAGCAATTTGAAAACCCATCCTGTTTAAAAATCAGTTTTTGGTCGTGTTTGCACCCATTTTGCTATGTTCGGGTTTTCAGCGACACATTTGTATATTGTCAAAAGTTTTGGGCTGTTGTCATTTAAGATCTTCTCTACGTCTTGTCCGAAATCTGACAGGATGTCCATCAAGTTGAAGAGGCATATATCGGCCCATGTTATCTGTAACAAAAATAAGTCATAATAGGTCTATTATAAAGTGCCGCACAAAGCAAAGGAAACACTTATATCTAGCCTCTGATCCTACGACAAACTGCTTTGATAACTGAAAAACACACTCAACCTGGACATGGGTGAGTCTGTCATGATTATTTTGGACATTGAAATATAACTACTTCAAATCTACTCACTACTTCAAATCATACAATGTAGTAGATTGTATCACCTACCTCTTTTCCAACAAGGAAGCTGCCCCCAGGATTGTTTGCCATAAAAGATTTCTCGACACTACCAAGAGCATTCTTTCCTTCTTTCCCAACGACAGCTCCGAGGGCGGCAGGCTGTAATTAAAGGGTGTATATGCTATATACAAGTGTACATGGTGTCCATAAAATCCCTTTACAATAACAATAAAAATTCTCCAATTACCCTTGTAAATATACTTTATGAATACCATGTATATTCAACACGCTCCATAATGGACTTGTCTCCTTACGTTAAATCGTTGTGTGCGATGCTCTGGCTTTAAATTTGTTTCTCCGCTCGAATACTGTTGGCCTGACACTGTTCATACTTCATAAGTATCTGACTACAAGATCTTTAATTTATAAATGTGTTTCATATACTTAATTACCCATTTCTAAAACAGATCGTATCAATATGGAACAAGTAATATAAATGGACGAAAGTTCACGCATCATTTTACCACTTACTAGTTTGTCAGGACCGCCTGCACTGAAGATCGCTTTCATAGCTGCAGCCCCAAACTCATTCAATACTTCTACTATCATGTCTGCTTGGGCCTTCTCAACAACAGTTTTACCTGCAATACCTACAAAAAGAGCATCATCAACTACAATGTTAACTGCTTGCGTGTAATGAGTTTCATCAACTACAATGTTAACTGCTTGCGTGTAATGAGTTTCGGACAGAGTTGGACTTACATTGTCATTTGTGACAAATCGGAATCGAAACCTAAGTATTGATGATGATTCCATTTTTATCAAGACAATAACTAATAAACAAAAGTATAGATGTCGTAAACCGCTACAAGATGAATTAATACATTTATATTTTGATATTTAGTTTAACAATTAAACTGTTAGGTTTGCCCAAGACTATCAAATACCTGTTTCGTTTGCAGCGAAGCGAGCAATTGTTAAACTTTCTGAAATTGTCACATTCCCAACTTGAAGCACCGGCAAATGGCCCATAGGGGTATCTGAAAACATGAAAAAGACTTTCTGAAATTGTCACATTTCTAACTTGAAGCACCGGCAAATGGCCCATACGGGTATCTGAAAACATGAAAAAGACTTTCTGAAATTGTCACATTTCCAACTTGAAGCACCGGCAAATGGCCCATAGGAGTATCTGAAAACATAAAAAAGCATTGTCATATCTGACAATTTTGAAAAGCTCACAAAGGAATACGGAAGTAGACTAAGCCCAACTGTTTGAATATACATTTTGCATTTTCTAACAGCTATTGAATTCCTAATTGAAAGGCATAGTTATATATGGTCATGAGATGTGTCTACATCAAACTAAATTACCCAAGCCAAATAGAGAAATGTCTGTAGAATGCAAACCTGAGATAAATAAGGCATAAAAATAAAGAAATTTAGAGTCTGGAAAAACTTTGGGCCCCTAAAATCAAAAATTAGGTCCACATTTTGAAAAATCAAGGCCCATTTTTTGATAATTAAGCCCAAAAAAGCCGAATTATGCCCAAAAAGCCCATTTATTGAAGCCCTACAAAATGTTGGTGTCCTACCCACTCCCCGGATCTGCCACTAAAATACACATTCCTACCAAAAATTGTTACATAGAAATGTCTCATACTCTCATTATTAATTGAACAAACTTGTACAAGAATTATCATTCGACTTGAAAAGGTCACTCACTTGCCCATGATAATATTGTTTTATACTCACTTGGTTTCAATGCTTCCCAATCTTCTTTTCCCACTCTATAATCCTCGAAATTTATATTTTTCGAGTGGAAAATCAGGCGAATGAGCTCTGCCCTTCCTTTTCCATTAAAGTACGTGAGCTTATATGTTGGCTTAGACATGTTGTTTTTCGCTCGGTGTATCTCACTAGTTCCCAGCCGGTGCTCTTCTGAGTAAGGTACAGTGTGTACTGTAGTAATATAGACTACAACATCGATTTTTCTAGCTTATTCCTTTACTAGGCCATATGCATTACTAGACTGCAAGTCATCCTCATATTTGTTTGCATTGATATTTCCTTTTATACACGCCATAGAAATAAAACATAACACATCAATAGGAACCTCCTGTTGGACTGAGCTGAGAATGATTCAGCATAATATACTCATGTAAACGAATCATATACTATATAAACAAAAAGGGATATTTTACCAAGTCCAGGACTTAATGAATTGTAGATGATTTAAACCATGTTAGTATTTCATGTATCAAGACTTTGAATGAGAGCGAGAGGTATTTGTATAGTAATAACATAAAAAAAAATTTCAAAAGGGAAACTTGTTTGCAAGAGTTTTTAATATATTATTTAAAGATTTTCACTCAAATCCCAACTTAAAATTATGAAATTAAAATTTTAATTTTATTATATTTAGATTTTAATTGTTCCTCTTCACCCAATTTAGGGTATTAGAGTCTCAAGCAGCACACATTTTAGCAACAGTAATCAAAAAAACTGAATCTGAAAAATAGCCATGTTGCATTCTGTAGCAAAATTAAGAATGTATATCATTTGAAATACTGTGTTCTGATTGGCTGGAATCTGATACGTTATGCCTAGCTATGTGTAAATGAAAAATGATTAAAAAGTAAAATTGTTATTAAATAGTATATTTGGTAAAATTATGAGATCGTATACATATGCAACAGCATTCAGTTAGTTTACATTCCTTCAATAAGTCTGGAAACCAGGACTCCCTTTTGAGGTCACTCCTCAAATCCTGGTTATGTTATTTTAACAAAATCAAGACTCAAATATTGACAGGCTTCCATATATTATCCGATTGGCAAACTTATGGAGGGAAGTGAAAATTGGGGTACGTTTTGTCTATTCTTAACATATGCAATATAATATGTTAGACACGGGTGACATCTATTGCCTGACACGTTCTTCCTTGTACAGTATAACCTGTCTAAGTGCAACAACTTTGGTACCTCTAAAAAGTGTTCCACTTTGGAGGTGTTCCGCTTACAAAAGTTCATTTAACATTAAAGTCAGTTGGTCTTGGTACTCTGAAAACAGAGGTGTTTCGCTTCAAGAGGTGTCCCAAGTCCCACCTTACAGGTTTCACTGTACTTTCACTGTACTTCTCGTCTCGCCGCGCTTATATTTTTACAACAACGGCTTTATAATCACCAGTCTCGCATCAAGTCTGTGCGTTTACCCAACAAATTCCTCCCACCATAAAAATTACAAGGTAAGGGAAGTAGAATTCACATCATGGTATCGAAGGTTCGTGCGCTCACTGAAGCTGATATAGAGCTGGGTATCATATTGATCAAGTAAGTCATGCAAGAACTCTAATATTTCACTGAAGGTTGATCAATGATGCTATACACGGAATCAAAACTGTCCTTTGAAGCCATACGTGGCAGCGTAGAGTCAGGCAAACCGGAAGACGCTGTGCATGGTAAATTGTTCCACTTGCGATATACAAACACGACAACAATCAATGCTGCAAAAAGTAAAACTCCTGGGACTATAGCCGACCAGAGTGGTATATCCGCTGTGTCATATCGCTCAAGAACGACCTGGCTGGCGTTGAAAGGGTTAACGTAACAAATAACGTCAGTAGTTATCCGCCTGTCCCAATATAGTCTCTGTTCGTCTATCCATAAAGAATTCGTTTGCTCTTGCTCGTAGCATATATTCGTTGAGCACTGAAAAATATTGTAGATATGTATTAATGTCAAGCACAAATGACAAAGGGTATAAAGCTAACACTACAGTTAAAGAGATAAGTATTTATAATATACAATATGTTAATAACCTTAACTGTGTACAAACTGTACACTAACTGTGACACGATGAACAAAATAAACACCAATATCCCAAAACGCGTATAGAAACAGTATTCATTGATGTAAATGTTGTTGATTCGTTAAGTAAGTCATTGACGTTATTTTCCTGATCTTAGTGTACTTGACAAATATCACGCTGAAGCATAAAAATACAAAATGATTCACTATGAACCAAAACATCAAACTAAGCCCTGAACTTTGATCGTAGAGGCTCGTATAAACAAAAGCTTGACGCGTGTAGAGGAGGACGTTGTCCTTCGCTGCAATTGACCCCCTACCCCTCTATTTCAATCTTAGCTATACTCAACCAGCCTCATTTCCAATAGCTTGATTTCAGAGATCTTTACACTAATTTACACGGCTCTGTAAACTCAAGGTATTCTATCTTGGACCATATGAAAAAGGAGAATTTTCCCGGAGGGGGGGGGGTAGTTCAACAAGTTAAACCTAGTCTGGACCTTATTTCTTATCTGACCTATCTTGTGGCCTAGAACATTCAGATTAATAAATGAAAGCCGTGGTATTGGGTTTAACTTGTTGAACTAGGGGGGTGGGGGTGGGGGGGGGGCGGGGTGCTATCATTTTCTCGAGATCTAGATTTTTTCAATCGACCTTCTAGATAGGGTTTCTTTTTTGTATTCAGAACAGACTTTGTTGTAGAGTGGTATATCCTTCTACCTACATGAACGTGTCCACTTAAGTTACACAATCGTAACCTAATCATAACGCCCTCGCACTCAAAGCTAGATATTATTAATTGCTTATATACGAAATGTTTTTAGGAAGCGACGAAGGCATTTGCGATTACAAGACATGCTGGCAATACGTGAATTCAACTTTATCCAATGCATCTTTACGATCATAACTTAAAGGGGCAGCAAAAAGTGTAAAAATGAAACTTGATGGGCATGGAGAGCGAAAAATATTGTAACATTATGACAAAAGTTCTTCTTATCTAGCCTAGTCTCATAAAATGATATAAAATTATGAAACTGATGAAAAGATATTGTAAAATTATGGAAATGGTTATTCTTATCTAGTCTCATAAAATGATACAAAATGATGAAACTGATGAAAAAATATTGTAGAAATTATGACAAAAGTTCTTTTCTAGTCTCCAGTCTTTGACGCCCCTTTAAATGCACTTATTTCCAATTATATTACCTCTGGATAAGTATCGAGTTGCATATATGTTTCGAACATCAATGCTTTAACCTGCTCCCCCGAATGTCTGTGGTACACGACATCAACATTTAAACATGGGAAACTAGAGGTAATACACCCTGTGTCTGTATGGTGACCATTCTCATTATTCCCATTCGCAATTGTTCTTTCACCGTCGCATTTTTTACATGGAATCCATTTTTGTTTGTCAGGATAATGACTTGCCTGTACCGTACATACAGTTTCCTCGAAGTCTTTTTGACAGTCAGATAAAATATCCCTTGAATATATAGAGCACATTGCTACCGTTACGATCAGTAGGCTTATCACGATCGCCCCTGATACTACCACAAATATGCGTTTTCTGTTTGACATATCATTGTTTCTGAGATGTTCTCTAAATCTAATATTCCAAATATTACAAAGACTGTATGTATGTTCTCCGATATTGAATCAGTTTCCTTTATCTTGTGTAATATGGACCATCACCCTGCTACTCAGTGCCAAACACCCCGACATTTCACCTCATGAATCAATTTGAGTAACCTCATTTTGTTCAACGTTTCGACGATAGTGTATTGAGTACCATCTAATCGATCATGTTTCGGTACAAGGAAGTAGGCTAAATTAGGTCAGACTCGGTTTCGAACGCTAAACCTGATCGCGATCATGATCAGCTGGTTTCGCAGTCTCAAATAACATTTCAGATCTAACCCAATATCGACCTTATCCACGATTCTATCGAGTTATATCAAACATGTCATCAAAACTTAATCCACAGTATTTCGTTTCAAGTTTCTAGCTAATTCATCATCTACATCCGTTTACTAGAACTTCCAAATCATCAACCTATTCATATTTTTACCGAACGCTGTGATCGCTAACATTATTTCTTTGTTTACATTTCTCTTCTTCAGGGCGCTGTGACCTTCGTCGGTGCAACTTTTAACTACAAAAAGCTAGAACTGAACTTATACATAAACGTCTGGCAACTTTCAATGAAAAAGAAACTAAAAACCCCTCCCTCGAAAGCCCTTGAAACATGCTTTGAACAAAACACGTTTCGGCGTGATAAGTTGGACACTTTTACAACGACACTTGTTGTTTTTCTAAAGTTCTAAATGTAAAATGTAAATAGTTTCTATTTACAGTAGTAACAACCTAATTAATTTACTACATGCTAAATAAAAAAACAATTTCTTATATCCTAGCAACTTTTGATTTATTTTTGACAATAACAATATAATTTTATCGAAAATTTATCGAAGTTCCTGAAATGACAACTAGATGGGAGAATTGTTTTATGTAGGCTACTATTGTAAAAACATCAGTTACTCTTGATTCATCAATTAATTATAATACCGTAATTGGAATGACGTAGCCCAAAATGAACTCGTTGACATACATACAGGGTGTTCCAAAAGTAACACGACTGGTGCTGGCATTTTGTCAATTTTGCACAGAGTGTCTTCAGATTTTCACAAATTGTACTTTGAAGTATTGCAACTAGAATTGTAAAGTTTCAGAAAAATTGTAAAATGCGGGTAGAGGATGCTTGTGATTGTACCATCTCCCCGAGATGGGTCCATGTATGGTAATCAACCACATTAGGCATCGGGGCTGTTGGGTGGCCAGGCATCGAGATCAATCAAATTGACACCTTGTTTGCAAAGAAATGCCAATGTCTCCTTTGATCTTTGGTACGAGGCAAGCAATGTCTTGTTGAAAAATAAAATCCTTACCACATATACATTTTATGTCTTTTAACAGACCCCTTTTGAGAACTTATTGATAATAAACAACACTGAGATTCATAAACAATAAGTTTAGTCACACAATCACGCAAATATGCAAGCTTGTATTCACCTAACAAAATGATATTCTAATAAATAAAAAATTAACATAATCCTGCAGATTTACTATTTTCTCCCTAAAATATAGAGACCCTAAATAGCAACCCGGCCTCCCAAATAAGTATAATAAAACTTTACTATTGATTGTATGACATAGTGCTATCTACCAAATTGTTTGAAAATGAATTACCTTTAAAATGATATATACACTCCCCTCCATAAGTTTGGCAACCTTTTTTCCCCATTGAACTATGTGTTAAAGCCTCTTTACCTTTGAATTTTTATTTACTTAACCTGCGATTGAAATACTTATACTATTGATGGAAACGTAATTTGACTTTAATTCCAATACCTCCAAATTTTCTCAATTTTTTTCCTCAATTACAATAGGCCGAAAATTGATGATAAATTTGATGAATTTTTGAAAATCGACATTCCCATGTTAACCAATGGGAAATGGTAGGTTTGCCGCAAGTCATATGACAGAATATCCATCCATCCGAGTCCTTGCAAAAAATACGAGTTAGGCAGGCAATTGAATTTGCTAGCTTTATTTAACAAAAAATTGATATGTTTCTTCAGGTTCAACAAAGTTATAGGGCTTTAAAGTCAAAATTGTTTTTCAAAAAACCTCTCCCATTGAAATAACACAGGAGGCGAAAAATTATTTTCAAAAATGACTTTGAAGCGCTGTAACTTTAATATTCATCAAATAAACTAAACACTTAGTGTTCAAAAAAGTTAGACAATTCAATTTTCTATATAAAAATATTTTTTGCTGAATCTTTTATTGAAAAGATATCCTGATTTCTGATTTGCCCCGAACCCTCCATTTCCCATTGGATTACATGGGAATGACGATTTTCAAAAATTCATCAAATTTATCATCAATTTTCGACCTATTGTAATCGAGGAAAAAAATTGAGAAAATTTGGAGGTATTGGAAACAAGGTCAAGTTACGTTACCATCAATATTATAAGTTATTTCATCGCCAGTTAAGTAAATAAAAATTCAAACGTAAAGAGGCTTTAACACATAGTTCAATGGGGAAAAAAGGTTGCCAAACTTATGGAGGGGAGTGTACGTCAATGTACCATATTGAAGGTAACTATTTTTTACCTGATTTAAAGTTGGGTATTGTTTTTTTGGCCCACCCTGCACAGTGAGATACAAACTACTGATTGGAATAATTATAAAAAATTGACTGTATTACATATAATATGTTAGATATAGGACCAAGCGCAATAACGCATCACAACACTTCTCAAAAACAGTTATTAGGGGTGGGAGGGAGGGGTAACAGATTGACTGTTCAAATACAGTTATAGTAATCATCCTGCATTGAACTTTTGAGATACTCCCCTAGCTTCTTTGCTCTATTAGCGCATCACCAATAATATACTAGTATGATTGTACAAACACATGATACGTTTTAAAATTAAATTTTATTTAGTAGTAAAGATAGATTTCGCTCTCCACCTGAGATAACGGTCCCCTTCCTACATAGCCCCGACGGGCTGGCTAATTCATTTAAAACATGTACATTTTAATAGAAATAGAATTTATGTGTAAATTTATAAGAGGAACAATAAAGACTGGGGCTGGGGACATCGATCCAAACCGCAACGTTCATGGCCGTATTGTAATGGTAGTCGTTGCAGCTGTCGAAGTTGGGCAGGGTTCAAAAGGGTCCTCACTTCCGTCTCCGCATGGAGGACAGGTGTTCTCTGGCCAGTTACAGAGTTGCCTGGGTTCGTCATACACGAGACCTAATGAGAAAATTTGAAGTGCAAGTAATACGAGGCTAGGGTTGTCCCAGAGCTAAAGTTTCCATTCCGAAAGCTAACGAAAAACGAATGCTCCAGTCTGAGTGTCCCGCCACACTGCGGTTGCCATAGTAGCCATCATGACTTCACCATTTGCAATAAATTAAATGTACACTATAGATACGTATCGGCTACAACTGTAAAATGTAATTTTGGTGAATGATAACTTTGGTGTGCTTGATATTTTGAAAGCCCTACGTTGAATTTGTACGGATTGTACGATGTGCTTTGAATACGTACCTGCTGGACAAAGATTGTTTGCCTGGAACTGCTCATTCAGACAATAATGATAGGACAAGCAAGCATCGTCATAGTTGGTATAGTAACCATCAGCCTTTCCTGTACAATTCCGGTACACTCCGCAAGGGGGCGCCACATTTTCAGGACTGTAAAATATTTTCTGAATAAGTCGTCGTCCAAGTTTTTTTTGTAAAGAGGGTGCAGAATCATCATTTCGTCAATGTAGCCTTGCCCAAGTCGGTCTCTTTTACTTATCTTAATTTCTATTGGTAATAATTCAAGATCAGACAAGTAAAAAATACCGACTTGGGCAAGGCTACCGTCAATGGTGTAAACGCTAATTATTCTAAAGAACGCTCGTATATACAAAGACACGATCGTACGTACTCGTCGCATCCACCGACCTCTACGTCAACAACCTGGCCTACTGGACATTGTACGGTTACATCAGTGCCACTCTGGCAATAAATATAGTATGTGCAGCCAGCCTCACATATTGTATTGTCGGGGTCAACTGCACAATTACACTGACTCAAGACACCTAAATGATAGAATTTTATCAGTTCAGGCCTTTTACACCCCAGTCACATTTGTCGTACGGCGGCCGTACGTCGACCGCAGATCAATTAAATCGGTGTATTTCTGCGGCGAGCGTAGGTAAACTGCGCTCGCCTTGCGGTCTCCGTACGGCGTATCATGTTTTTTACAGGCCGCAGGGTCGCCGTAGAAATTGTAGAATATTGGTTCATTTCTGCGGTGCCCGTAGAAATGATAGACCGCATGGCGACCGTAGGAAATGTGATATTTCGCTAATTACATTTTTAGACTCGTCGATTTGCAAAAATGCTGTGTGAAATAGAGGGTTATGAATATGCAGGAAAAACAAGAGAATTAGCATATATTGTTGTGTGGCATACTGCTTTTACAATCTGAACAAGGCGTCTAGCTCTTTAGAAGATACGACATTTCAAGTAATTAGAGTTGATAGGAAAGCTAATATGGCACCAACAATGGTGAAGACAGTGCTTATTTATTAGAAATTTTCGTCAAACACAATTTCATACAACATACAAAAAGAGACTCTACAGTTGATACCTTAAAATTTATATCATCGATAAAACTATAATTGGACAATTAAAAGACTGGTTTTATGATGTTACATTACATTTTTATAATGTTATGTTAAATGACTTTACGTTACGTTACATTGCGTTACGTTTCATACGTTACGTTATGCTATGTTATGTTAATTATGCTAATATCAAAACGTACCATCTATTACGGGAATCATTTAAGACTTGAATTTATAATTAATTTGATAAAAATGTTATGTATTTAGGTTAGACCCAATTGGATATAATTCAATGTAAACGTGTTCGTAAATTTTGTTTTTGTCTATTTGTATCTATTTTACATGAAACGGATGTGAAAGTATCCTAACAATAAACATATTAACACAGGCATTGTATATTAAGTGATCAAATAAAATCAGGAAAGGTTGCTGTTAAAGCCATGATCCAAATACTCTTCTTTTACAAACAAATAACTAACCGACATTTAAAAAAGATTATATTGAAACTATAAAAGACAAGCTTATCATGTCAGAAGTATTTAACTGAATTAACTTACCTTCGCAAAATGATAATACGAATGCAAAGACCAACAAACTTTTTGACACTGACATGATCGCTGTTTTGTTTTTTATGTCGTCGCCTTGTTTGAATATTTAAAAAATAGAAATATTACTGATATCTATAAGGTTGGGCGTTGGGACAAAATGATAACCTATAACGCATGCGCACAAAGAAAATATATGGTTTTCGTCAGAAACATTTATAGTCCCTGATCTGGACCCTCTGAAAAAAAGTTTTGTTGTCCGGTACTTTCCCACATAAAATGATTGTACCGTTTGAAAGAACAGACTTCCCTCTTAAAGAAAACACCTCTTCTATTGATGTAAACAGGGGCAAAAGGCACCAAAACGGGGTTAGACAAGGTGGCATTCTGAAGTCTCACTTTCTTGTCATCATGATTCAAGGTAAACCATCAGACGGATTTACTTCAAATTTTCACACATGTTACATGGTAAGAAGTTCTAGAGCTGATTAACTTTGCGGTGGCCATCTTGCATTCTGGCGGCCATCTTGGAATTTTTTTCAGATAAATATTGTCATCGCGATTCCACAAAAACCACATAACAGATGTACTTCAAATGTTCACACATGTAACATGGTAAAAAGTCCTAGACCTCATTATTTTTTCGGTGGCCATCTTGCATTCTGGCAGCCATCTTGGAAGTTTTAAGATAAATCTTGTCATCACGATTTCAGGAAATCCAAACGGATTTACTTCTAATTTCCACACATGTTATATGGTAAGAAAATATAGAGGTGAATAACTTTTCGGCAGCCATCTTGCATTCTTGCGGCCATCTTGGATATTTTGGGATAAATCTTGTCATCGTGATTCCAGGAAAACAACCTAACAGATTAACTTCAAATGTTCACACATGTTACATGGTATGAAGTTCTAGAGCTGATTAACTTTTCAGTGGCCATCTTGCATTCTGGCAGCCATTTTGGAAGGTTTATAGATAAATCTTGTAATCACGATTCCAGAAAAACCACTTAACAGTTTTACTTCGAATTTTCACACATGTTACATGGTATGAAGTTCTAGAGCTGACCAACTTTTCGGTGGCCATGTTGCATTCCGTCGGCCATCTTGGAAGTTTTTAGATAAATCTTGTCATCACGATTCCATGAAAACCACGTAACAGTTTTACTTCAAATTTTCACACATGTTACATGATTAACTTTCTGATAGCCATCTTGCATTCTGGCGGCCATCTTGGAAGTTTGTAGATAAATCTTGTCATCACGATTCCAGAAAAAACACTTTACAGATTTGCTTCAAATTTTCACACTTTATACATTTACATTCACAATGGTTACCTCCTGGTATATTTCTTAGGTTTTATGACTGTTAAATTCTATAGTCTTGTTAAGACCACTTTATAAACAGGTTTATTATTACTTTTATGACTGTTAAATTCTATAGTCTTGTTAAGACCACTTTATAAACAGGTTTATTATTACTTTTATGACTGTTAAATTATATAGTCTAGTCAACACCACTTTATAAACAGGTTTGTTATTACTGGTGTAACGACGAAAAAAAATATAATTAATTTATTTGATCTTATACAAGGGCCGATCAAAAAGTTTCTTACCGCTGGCTCTAGATTTTATAATAAGAGGAGTTGGATGCTCAAACTTTTACATAAGACAGGGTTGTAAGTTTGCTTGAGACTGTCTGAGTTTCATTTAAATTGGTTCATTGGTAGTGACACAGAGTCAATACATATTTTCAATGATTGAATTAGGTGGAGCAGCGTTTTTTATAAAAAATTGTGCTAACCTGCAGTTTTGGAAATTTCTAACACAAAGTAGTGTCATCTGTCAACAGACTGTAGTTTAATCATGTTTAATTAGTTTTTCTGCTAATATTCATTCCCATTCAAAATATTCAACCCCAGTTGCAATGCACTTCCTATATCTGTCCACTAGATCCAAAAACACATGTTTAAGGACTTCATATGAGGGGTTTGAAACGATGTCGGTAAATTTCAAGAACCACAACTCGGCAGATATTTTATATATAACGCTGCTCCACCTAACTTTGTCATTGAAAATATGAATTGACTCTGTGTCACTACCAATAAACCAATTTATATGAAACTCGTACAGTTTCAAGCAAACTAACTAGCCATGAAATTATTTTTTCTTTTCGATAAAACATTGCTTATTAGAAATATATTTAGTTGAAAACTTAGAGTAAACAATCAGTTCTTCTATCACAAAGTTTATTTTGGTTCAGTAGATTTTTCTATACATTATTTTTATGTCACCACCACTAGTGATTGGGTGACATATTGTAATAGCTTCGAACGTTTATCTTGACACTGTTCAGTAGTTAATGTGTACTGTATACTTAACAAGGTGTGGTGACATTTTGCATGTTTCTGCATCGTCACTACTATTGAAAGCTTATGTTGATATTGTAGCAGTATTTTTTAAGTTCTTTTTGTTGGTACAATTAGTTTCCAAACCCTATACTTATATCGATCTGACACAGTTTAGTGCAGGTTTAAGTGATTTTGTTGATTATTAAACGGAAAGAGCACATGTGTCTCGAACTCGCAACATTGTGGATACAGAGCCCATTCACATAGTTTGACATGCTGCTGCTCTGAACCAGCTCGTTAGTTAATATCTGACTAATGCGATGAAGAAACGTTATCTGCAGCGTTTATGAGTACTATAGTATCTACAACTATTTTTGATCTTATGAGTATTGGATATCATTATTTTTCTTCAACATGTATTTTAATGACTTCAGTATGAATGGAATGTCCCTCGGAGTTGTGGTCGTTGATGACGAATTGGTCATTGAACGGTGTGGATGCTGTTTATTCCCATATTAGATTATTGTCTTGGGATATTCAGGTTTGATTTTTGTTTGCCAGTTTTACACTTTACAGTTTGCTTTTCCCACTAGGTTGCTTTACACTTTTTTCCTTTCTCATTTGTCATTTTTGTTTATATTTAGTAAGGATTATGATACGCAGGTCTCTCCTTCTGTGTGATCACCTGTCCAGAAGATAATTCAACTGCATGAAGAACATTTCGTTGACATGATGCACAGTGAAAGGTTTTCCACACATTTACATTTTCGTTTAAAAGAGCTTTAATTCCGTTATATACTCAGATCAGGGCCAATTTAGCATACATTTCGCTCTCAAAAATCGCTGTGCAATAATGGATTTCAAAGAAATGTTTGACGTTTTCAATAGGCTTTGTATAAAAAACCTCCTACCTCATACCCACCTACCCACCTACGTGGAACATGATACAGTCATTGAAGGGTTCAATTTGAAAGATTATTAAATCTCAAAATAGCTCAAATTATTAACATTTCTACAATTCCGGTTTTATTTTATGACTAGACAGATGACAGATCCATAAATAAAGGCATATGTATGCATTTTAATGTGTAATGACCCGAGGGCGCCCCAGGGGAATAAATAACTTACGACCGCGAGCATAGATCCAACAAGCCAGATAAAGAAATTGATAGAAAGTGTTCTAAATTCGATGCCCCTTGTGGGAATCGAACCCAGCTGGGATGTAGTAGCAACTTGCTATCAAGGGTCATTACAAATGCATCTATAGTTCATCATAAACTAAGATTTAATAAACTAAGATCTTTAAAATCGAACCCTTCAAAGACTGCATCATGTCCCACGTACGTGGGTAGGTGGGTATGAGGTAGGAGGTTTTTTATACAAAGCCTTTTCAATAATCTTTTTTCTTTTTGATGAAATGTAGTTATTTATTCTAAAAATCAATCGATGTCATACACAAAATGCATTTAAGTGGTATAAAGTACAGAAGCAGAGTAAAAATATGTATTTTAGAATATCACCATGTGTTACCCCATTGTAGCGCCTCTTGCCCATGTTTTTATCAATATAAAACATGATATCATACACCAAATATGCATTTATGTCAAATTATGTGGTTTAAAATACAGAAAAATAGATAACATTCTCCTTAGAATACCACCTTGTGTAACCCCACTTTACTGCCTTTTGCCCCTGTTTATATCAATATAAAAGGTAGCATGTAACCTTCCTTGTAACATGTGTAAATGTTTCAAGAAAATCAGTAAAGTGGTTTTCCTGGAATCACAATGACAAGATTTATCGAAAAAACTTCCAAGATGGCCGCCAGAATGCAAGATGGCCACCGAAAGGTTAATTAGCTCTAGAACTTCTTACCATGTAATATGTGTGAAAATTTGAAGTAAATCCGTTTGGTTTTCCTGAAATCGTGATGACAAGATTTATCTTTAAACTTCTAAGATGGCTGCCAGAATGCAAGATGGCCACCAAAAAAATAATGAGGTCTAGAACTTTTTACCATGTTACATGTGTGAACATTTGAAGTACATCTGTTATGTGGTTTTTGTGGAATCGCGATGACAATATTTATCTGAAAAAAATTCCAAGATGGCCGCCAGAATGCAAGATGGCCGCCGCAAAGTTAATCAGCTCTAGAACTTCTTACCATGTAACATGTGTGAAAATTTGAAGTAAATCCGTCTAATGGTTTACCTGGAATCGTGATGACAAGAAAGTGAGACTTCAGAATGCCACCTTGTCTAACCCCGTTTTGGTGCCTTTTGCCCCTGTTTACATCAATAGAAGAGGTGTTTTCTTTAAGAGGTAAGTCTGTTCTTTCAAACGGTACAATCATTTTATGTGGGAAAGTACCGGACAACAAAACCCCTTTTCTAGAGCCCTTTTGGGAATCAGATCGGGGACTATTATAAGAATACGAAGATAATATTATATCTCGTAAATTGTTTTTGGAAAATTGAGGGGATGACATTTTGTATAGATTAACGAAAAATTAGAATACGAAAAATTAGAAAGACTACGACAAATGTATGGTACCAACAAAAAAATTTAGACCTTCGTCCACAACATGTGAACGTATGAAAGGATTCTTCCAGATAATAAGGGAAATAAAGCCTGTTGCAACAGTTCACTTTTTTGGACCACCCGGTATATTTTACCGTTATAACATAGGCGCAGGATTGAGGAATTTAAAATTTTAGACTTTCTGCAATTTACCAATCATAATGTTGCGTTATTTCAATCCTAAATTTTATCTATATTCACCACCAAATTAGACCCTGAATGGAATCTTTTGGTGTCGTTAAGAATCGATAGTCGCCTGCTGAATGGTGTCAATCGAGTGTCGACAGTGTACCGAATAAACATCATAATGCCCCAAAATAACGATTACTTATGTTATAGTAGAAAACAGAAATTTCGCAAAAATCCTATAGCCTTTATAGGCTACATTGAGACAAACCGTGTTTAAAGTTTCGTATGTGTGATTCAAATATTTGATTTATTGCCCCACAGAAACACCTGTTTCTCTCTATTGTATACATTTTATGTTTTCGTCTTAGCTTGTTAAAGTACATTTAGTAAAGTAGATTTGACACCCCAAAAAGTTTGGAAATATCGGAAAGACCTTGCCAGAGAGAAACATAAATTAATTAATAAAGGACTGATAGATTACACTAAACTACAGAGTTCGCTTATCGAGGACATTTATTTATAGTCGAGGTTCGATTTCATCTTCGCATGGAGACAGGTTTATTCAAGAATGTATTTCTTTACTTAGGATTGACTCCCCGAGTGCAACATCGATATTTTTGCCATATATGGGCATGTCGTGTCCTTGTATAAATATATATCATGTGTTACTAAGACAAATAAAGATTACGAAGGAAGTATTTCGCAGAAATGAAATCACATGATTCGCAAATCTGAACTTCACCGCTGAATTATTTTAGTTATCTTGCATATTCTAGATGGGTCCATATTATCTCAAATTAAAATCCATCATTTTTTGGCGTCTTATTTTCTAAAACTTATTTTGGCGGTGTAAGTTAACGTAAGGCGTACGTTTTGTTATCGTTTTTAAGTACAATGTAATAAGCCACACCAAGATATATTTTTTAGAAATCGTAAATACATCACATACAGGCGCGTTTAGTAGGCGTTTTTATGCATGACAAAGTTAAATGATCAGTTAAGCATTGTATTCACAGAATAATATATTTGAAAAAAAGATCGGCTTGGCAATCTTCGATATGGCACTTTTGACAATCATATCTGTTTTTGTGTTGATATGCGCAGTACCACAACGTGAGTCTAAATATGCCAATTAGCTTTTTGGAATATAAAAACTTTAAATATCATATATTTGAATTCAGTGGTAGCATATATTAACAGTATTCACGGTTGAAAAATGTGTCTCATTTACTAGATTTTGTAAAATCATACAGTATTAAGTTCTGTGTCCAAAAAAATTAATTTCTTTTTTTCTATTTCTTGTAGGTACGTTTTGCCAAGGGTGTTACTTGCCTATGAATATCGTGCTTTCTCTTCTAGACACTTTTGACCAATCAAGGCTATAACCACGGTGTTATAGCATGACGGTTACGTCAAGGCGATTTGCAAAATTTTGCGGTAACGATAACAAAAAATCGCGGATGGGAGAGACAGCATGTCCTCTTTCTCGCCTGTAGGCAAGATTCACAGATAAGATTTCCTTTTCAACTAGTTCCATTCGGTGATGTATATATGAATGGTTATAAAGACCGGGTCAAATCTGCCAGGTGGTTTACTAGAAGCTTAATATAAGGTGTAAACTTACCGACTGAGATGCCCAAGTTCATATTTTTAGTCCATTCTCGTGATTTCTCAGTATATGTGCCTCAGGGCCACTCAAACTATTAACAGTAAGTAAACTGTGTATAAACAAGCCATGAAATGACAAATCCAGAACAGGAACGTGGTCATAGCGTAAATAATAAGGTTTCAAACGCAATGTCGTTAGACGACTACGTATGAATTCTATAGACGGTAACGTATTGTATAAGATGTACATTAGATATTTAGCGGACGGTTACGTGCATGTACATCTTTCAAGTTAAAGCTGCTAGATCTGATAGCCTCTCTCCATGTAATTGTTATAATGGGTAAGAAATGGAATATTGAATTGCTTATATTTGTTTTCAGGACTCGCAAGAGACGCTCTTGTTTGAGCCTCTATAGGGCAAGGAAAAAAATTGTGTCTTGCTTTATTTATGAAACCAATTTAAGTAAAAAAGATAGCAATGAAGAGGCAAAAGAAGAATTAGCATCAAGTACTGATGAATATGACAAAATTAAACGGTTAGCGTAACCGTCAATCAATTTTTTGCGTAACCGCAAATTAAAAATACAATATTATGGCTTAGGTAGAACATATTAGGTGGTTTCCAATGCTCAATTGGCTTTTTATGATCGCATGTAGGTTACATCTATATACCACGAGGCCGTTAGGCAATGTAGACCATGCCCTAACGACAAAAATAAACAAATTACTAAATTTTGTGTAGTTTTGAATTTCAAGCTCAACAGTTTTTCGCTTATTTCATGTTATCCCAGGGCATCAATTTGCAAAGAATACGTTCAAAATATACATTACTAAATGCATCACCGAATGCGATGCCTACGAAAATCGTTCATCCTTTCATTGATACACAGTAGAAGAAAATAATGCACCAACCTTAGTTTTCTGTTCCATCGCGGCCATTTTATTGGATATATCAGTGATCGTAGTCGTCTAATCTCGTTTTCAGGGGTGTCGTAACCGTCATGCTATAACACCGTGATATCTGTGCTATAAATATTTTGCTTTCTCTTATAGGCACGTTTGGCCAAGATTGTAACTGCGTTCATAAATATTTTTTCTCTTACAGGCACGTTTAACCAAGGCTAACTGTGTCTACTGGTATTTTGCTTTCTCTTAAAGGCACGTTTGACCAAGGCTGTAACTGTGCCTATTGATATTGTGATTTTTCTTATAAGCACGTTTTGGCCAAGGCTGTAACTATACCTATTAATATTTTGCTTTCTCTAATAGGCGCGTTGGGTCAAGGCTGTAATTGTGCCTTTGATCCCGACGGCACCCTCTGTGAAGCAGCTTGCACGTACTACAGCTATTGTGAAAATTTCCAAGTCGTCACGGTACAATGCCAAGAGGGTGAAGTGGTGGATATTGAAGTAGGAGGTTGCAACTCGTGAGTTTAGAATGACAGATAGTCCTCATCTCACCTCTTAAGATGTAGTAGATAGGGGGGGGGGGGGGGGGGGGGTAGACTTGAAGCTAATAAAGGTGTGGTTCAATTACAATTATATAGAGTGGCGTACGGTTCTCGAGATTTCGTTGGAACAGACGTATTTTACCTATGGTGACGTCATTGACAAACACTTCCATCTTTACAACTTGATAAAAATCTAGTGTCCTTTCTTGCCCTGGTCTCTCGTAGTAAACCGTAACATTGTACTAGCGGTATCCGGCTGGTGTTTTCAGTCTAAAGTCTATAAAGGGCCAGGAATTACCACATTTCTAATTGGGTCGAAAAGGGAGCGATAAGAAACACTCGAGTAAGCTAATATTGGGATCAGATTTAATTTTGCATACGTACTTATAGGACGGCGAATGTGGCGCCCCCTTGTGGCGTGTGGCGGGACTGTTCGAATAAAGCCGATGGTTACTATGCCAACGAAGATGACAACTGTTTTTCCTATCACTATTGCTTAAATGGCCAATTCATGAGTAACAATCTTTGTCCGACTGGTAGGTTTAAAGATCTGAAACTCTAAATAAAATACCTAGGGGGATTGGTATCGATAGGGCGAACTTTTTGAACCCACGTTTCTCTTAAACCAGTCATCAAAAGATTCTGAAAATTTTACACATCGTCAGTTTAATTTTCGCATCAAATTGTTGCCAATCAGTCAACATTACATAAAGAACCGTGTTTATTACAGAATGTTTTCAATAATTGGTTTAAAAGAAAAACATTGTTGAATTCAGTTCACCATATCGATACCAATCCTTTAGCGGACCTTGAAAACGTTCAAATGGCCCTCACCAGCTCATTTTTTATAGTTGTACAAGCTTTATTTTATTTAGATTCAATAACTTACAGCAAAATCAAAAGAAAATCTAACAGAAATAAACATTGCAAGGTTTCGTTGGTTTATTTATATAATTTTTTTTATTTTTTTTCATTGAAAATCGCTGTTATGTACAGGGTGTACCAGAAATGCAACCTACCTAACAATGCTTATTTAAACAAAAGAGCACTACAAATCGTTTTCGGCATTATTAAAGTTGGTTCATCACTAGTGCGTGACCCGTTTGACTACCTCTCTGTACGACAAAATCCGGTATTTTACATGTTCTGTCTTTGGGTTCTTGTTGTTTTTGGTGGCGAGTAAGAGGGGGAGAAACCCCAGGGTTCAAAGATGACATACGCTTATAATGTAAATCTGTATTGAGATGACATCGTCGCTGATTGGATTAGCTAGTCGATCGTTGATAGGTTTAAAACTAGGTCAATTTGAAAACTTTGAAAACAAGATGGAGGGAAGTATAAATATACGTACTTCCGGGAAAGGAGGTGCGCGAAGGAAATCGTATGTCATCAATTGAATCATAGGGTTTTCCCACCTCTTGTGGCGAGTATAAAATTGTTATTTTACAAAGAAAGAGAACAATATACTTGCCCTGAAGTCTGCAACATAACTTTTATAATACTTAGTCGCTTTGGGGGGGGGGGGGTCATTTGGACCCCCTGCAATTTTTAATACTTGTCTGATTTCATTATTGTTGTAAAACCTATTCAATTACCCCTACGCAAAGTTTCATTAGGATTCTGATGATTCAAATGTCAACGTATGAATGTGTTTTTAGATTTGGTGTTCGACAACCCGAGGCAGCTGTGCAACTGGCCAGGGAATGTGTGTCCCCCATGTGGGGATGGCAGTGACGATCCATTTGCACCGTGCAACTGAAGAAAATACATATGATCCTGTATAGAATTGAATAAATGGAAAATCTGTCATTTTTAATTGCATGTAGTGTTATATACATGTAGATAAAGATAGATTGTTCCGATAAATCCTTCCACCTTTTGATACGACATTAGAAAAACGATGATATATTGGCTAAATTGATGATGTCATTGGTTGTAGCTAGGTAGGAATCTAACCATGCAAAAACAAGATTAACTCATTGCTAATATCAAAAAATACAACCTATGACATCATCAAGCTAGCTAATATATCAAAAGGTGACAGGATTCATTGGAAAGATCGATTCCAAAGAATATCAACATTTTATTAAGTTGAGTGTGCTTCCACATGGCGTGCTGTTGCTTTAGATCAGGTATTATGGGCCAAAGTACAATAGTACAACAGTATATTGATCTGATCACATTTTGATACATTAGAAAAACTATATTGACTAAATCTATGATGTCATTGGTTGTAGGTAGAAATCTGACCATGCAAAACAAGATTAATTCATTGCTAATTTTAAAAATGACAACCTATGACATCATCAAGCTAGCCAATATATCAAAAGGTGACAGGATTCATTGGAAAGATCGATTCCAAAGAATATCAACATTTTATTTAGTTGAGTGTGCTTCCACATGGCGTGCTGTTGCTTTAGATCAGGTATTATGGGCCATAGTACAATAGTACAACAGTATATTGATCTGATCACACTTTGATACATTAGAAAAACTATATTGACTAAATTGATGATGTCATTGGTTGTAGGTAGAAATCTGACCATGCAAAACAAGATTAATTCATTGCTAATTTTAAAAATGACAACCTATGACATCATCAAGCTAGCCAATATATCAAAAGGTGACAGGATTCATTGGAAAGATCGATTCCAAAGAATATCAACATTTTATTTAGTTGAGTGTGCTTCCACATGGCGTGCTGTTGCTTTAGATCAGGTATTATGGGCCATAGTACAATAGTACAACAGTATATTGATCTGATCACACTTTGATACATTAGAAAAACTATATTGACTAAATTGATGATGTCATTGGTTGTAGCATGGGCTTTCAACTAGAAGGGTAGGCAACTTCCCATATTTCATACATAAACATTGCCATAGGTTTTCAAAATTGGAGAATGTGCACATTCCAAGAAAATCTTATTTTGTACTTTTTATTGATGATTAAGAGAAATAACTCAAAAACAAAAACATGATCTTCTACATACATCTTGATAATTTAATAAAAATTGGAATTCATCATAATTATGACAATACTGAAAGTGAACATTCTCCCACAAATTATGTTTTTATTGGAATGTGTTCTTGAATAATTACCCACAATGCAATACTCAAAGAGAACATCTTGATAACTCTTATTCTTATTGGTCTCTTTTGTTTACTTTTATATGATATTGAATATATTTTATGCTTAAATCATATTAAAAATTGATTTTTATTCAAAATAATACTAAAACATATACATTTATCTAATACTTTTTGAAATATTGCCATAAAAGGGAAGCATGTCATTGCTCATTTTGAAGGTCTAATGTTATTACATAGAGTTGCATACCCTTCTAGTTGAAAGCCCATGGTTGTAGGTAGAAATCTGACCATGCAAAACAAGATTAATTCATTGCTAATTTTAAAAATGACAACCTATGACATCATCAAGCTAGCCAATATATCAAAAGGTGACAGGATTCATTGGAAAGATCGATTCCAAAGAATATCAACATTTTATTTAGTTGAGTGTGCTTCCACATGGCGTGCTGTTGCTTTAGATCAGGTATTATGGGCCATAGTACAATAGTACAACAGTATATTGATCTGATCACACTTTGATACATTAGAAAAACTATATTGACTAAATTGATGATGTCATTGGTTGTAGGTAGAAATCTGACCATGCAAAACAAGATTAATTCATTGCTAATTTTAAAAATGACAACCTATGACATCATCAAGCTAGCCAATATATCAAAAGGTGACAGGATTCATTGGAAAGATCGATTCCAAAGAATATCAACATTTTATTTAGTTGAGTGTGCTTCCACATGGCGTGCTGTTGCTTTAGATCAGGTATTATGGGCCATAGTACAATAGTACAACAGTATATTGATCTGATCACACTTTGATACATTAGAAAAACTATATTGACTAAATTGATGATGTCATTGGTTGTAGGTAGAAATCTGACCATGCAAAAACAAGATTAACTCATTGCTAATTTCAAAAGTCACAATCAAAAGGTATCGGAAAGATTAGTCTAGCTCCAAGACACTGTGACCCCCATCTACTAGACTAAACACTTGCTCACACTTGTGGTGAGGTGTTTAGGGGGGGGGGGGTCACAGTGGCTTGTAGCTAGACCACGGAAAGATGTGTACCTACAATGATGCTGTAGTACATGATGTGCATGTAATAAATTGCACAACATTAGAATAAAATACACACCCATTTGACACTATTTCCTTTTTATTAGGTCTCCTCTACATATATATGAATATAACTGAGTACCCAGCAACATGCCATAGTTTATGAAATATCACAAATTCAAAAATGTGTGCACCGCGCGCACGATTATTTTTTACAGGGCGTATCAAAAAAAACGCAACAAGTAGTTATCTTGTAAAATCACAAAACTAGTGATGACTACATCAATTTCATTTAATGTATCATAAAGCCACATCTCTCCTCTTTCCGATGATATGTCTATTATTCACATGTGATAATGGTTGGGTGAGAAATCCTTCCGTTTACACAGTGGGTCAAAATCGGCTCTTGGCCAAGTTTTAGATATTGCAAAAATCAGTGCAAGGGCTAAGTGCCAATGGAAGTTCCTCTGAATTGAATTGTTGTGACTTTTTCTTTTGGAGCTATCTCAGGAGCATCTGTGCTCACAATTCCTCCACCAGATATTGCAAAACCTCGAGAAAGAATTGCCCATGGGCTGCTTTTCTCTGCTTTAACCCACAGATGACTCAGGGCTGAACCATGCATGACGTGGGCAGATGAGCGCATCTTTATGTGCAAGGAAGTGGTGGCAATTTGGAGAGGTATAGGATGTATTCTTGCAAGAGTATGAGTATGGACACTTAACTGTCTATGCCACACCTGTCACACCTTCTTCCAATAGCCCCTATGCCCTTTGTACTGGCTTTTGCAATTTTTAAAACTTGGGTCCGAGCTGAATTTTGCCCCACTTTGCAAAATTAATGATTATTCGGCCAGTCATGACTCCCTGTGAATGAATGATATTCCATTGCAAAGAGGAGTAATTTGGCTTTTTGGTACATTGAATGAAAAGGATGCAGTCAGCATTGGTTTTATGTTTTTTTCCAATATTGCATCAGGCTCCGTACACTGACTTTTGCGATGTTTATAACTTGGCCAAAAGCTAATTTTGGCCCACTTTGCAAATGGAATGATTACTCGCCCAACCATGACCAAATATCAATGAATGATATATCATTGTAAAGAGGAGACACATGGCTTTATGGTGCATTGAATGAAATTAATGCTGTTATCATTGGTTTTGTGCTTTTCCGAGATAATATTCTGTTGCGTTTTTTTATACGCACTGTATAGGACAGTCTGCATATGGTGTGATAGAATAATTCAGATTTAAATCGCCTTTCTTCTTGATGAAATTAAAATTATGAAAATAAAAATTTCATAACGTCTTGATAACCAGGTGGTGCCAGTGACACTTCCCATTAAGAGTTATGTCATTTGCACTATATATGTTGGGAAAACTTCTTTAAGACTGGGCATATAAACTGACATCATTTGAATGCCAAATTACCGATCTACGTAAATTGATGAAACTAAACAATATGGAAAATATGAAGTCTATTTAAATCAAGGGCCTTAAAAGTATTTTTCTCGATACAGGTTATGTTTATAAAATTCAAAGACGCGGTAACACATAAACCAGTGGTGTAATTAAGGTTGCGAAACTTTTTGACGCGAGTGTAGGAGTATATCAAATTTAGTGAGAACATACCATAAAATGGAATAAAATCCAATTTTATTGCAAAACCCAAATCAATTGATATCGTGATATTTTTAATAAACAAATTATAGCCTATGGAAGTCCAGTGGTGGGTTGTACAGTTGTAGTTGTTGTTGTAGTAGTAGGGCAGGGCTCGTACACATCACCAGTGCCATCTCCACACGGAGGGCAGACATTATATTGCCAGTTACACACCCCTCTCGGGTCATCGAACACAAGTCCTACAAGGATAATAAATGCATTGCAGCTATCATAGGTAATGTGGAATAATTAAAGGCCCACTTTGCGTATTTTCAACGTTTTTGGGCAAAATAAAGACTTACATTTCAATTCTATAGTATTCCAATGTATTGATATCTTTCATTTAACACCAACAACAGCTCCAACGGACCACATCAAAGCTTACAACAAAGTATCAAAATATATTTTTTATCAATGTCATTGAAAGATGGCAAAGTTGTTTGTATTACATGATACATTCATTTTCAGTGTCGCCATCTTTCAAATCAACAGTAATTTAAAACATGCACTTTGTGCATGCACTTCTAATGATCTCTTAACTTCAAATGCTTTTTTCTATGTGAGTTATGTTTTTTTGGTTCAATATTAAAGCAAAGCAAACTTTGTGTCATATTTGAGCGTGTGTGTGAGTAACATGTTTCAATGGTTATTTTTTTGAATTTTTTCTTCTTAATTAAGTATAGTGGGCCTAAGTCTGGAGAATACATATGTATGATTAATGATTAATGACTAATGTATAATATATAAATCTGTATTTTAAGATATCCGTGTAAAGGTTGATCCTAATATTTCCTGAATGATTTTACTATTTTGTTGAAGATCGACATGATGCCTTATCGTTCATTTTATGTAAGTAATAGAAGGCCAGATTGAGGACAAAGTTTTCAAAAGTAGATAATGCAACAAAATGTAAATGCTCCAATGCTTCATTTACGTCAAAACCCCTTCTTCGTTTGAATAAACTTGCATGTCCGTTGGATTAGGGAAAAGTTGTTAGTGAAAAATTACAGACCATGAGGGCAAATCGAGAGAAATGATCCACATTGTATACAGGGGATGGAAACCGCCAAAAACAAAAAATGGCAAATGGCCGGTCGTACTCCACGAAAATACTTTACACGTTTCCAATGATTCACAAACTTACCTGTTGGACACAGATTGTTTGCTTGAAATTGTCCATCTACACAGTAGTGGTATGAGAGGCAATTGTCATATTCGTTGGCATAGTAGCCGTCCTCTTTTCCGGTACAGTCGTGGTATACACCGCACGGTGGCTCCACCTTTTCAGGCCTGAAATTGTAGTTCACTGGTGATCCACTCGATTACGCTGGTTAACGAAACGGTTCGTTTCGGTAGCAAAATGTCGGAACGTCGAAGGTACGATTTTTCTTTTTTCCTTATTTCACGCGTTGTAGGCGGAATCCCTACGACGTTTTTACACATAAACATGCATCAGCATCATATGTTTTAGAAAATGTACATGTTTGCGAAAAAATAGCTCAGAAGACAACAGAGTCGTCGATTCAATTCCTCACTTAAGTTACATAAACGGTTTGGGTTAAAAGTGCAGATCTTAACTGTTTTCGAAAAACCGTTTATGTAACTTAAGTGAGGAATTAAATCGACGATACTGTTGTCTTCTGAACTATTTGTTCGCAAATACGTACATTTTCTAAAACATATGATGCTGAGGCACGTTTGTGTTAAAAATGTCGTGGGAATTCTGCCTACAACGTGTGAAATAAGGAAAAAAGAAAAATCGTACCTTCGACGTTCCAACATTTTGTTACCAAAACGAACCGTTTCGGTAACCAGCGTAATCGAGTGGATCATCAGTGATCAAGCAGCCCGACCGGTCCCATTTAATTAATGCTTTATTTATCTGGCGATTTTTAAAATATTTGATAAATGTATGACACGCCGGCCAAATGGCGTTCACGGTGTTCCAGATAAAATTACTTCTAGCCAAGAATTGGCTAAAGACTCGAGTAACGTGCAGTAGTTATTTCAATTATTCCCTTACGTTTCTTAGTTTCCTTACTTCTTATTTATCAGATACCAATAACAAGGTTGGTGGTCCATGATGCGACTCAAATTCACAATTACACAACTCTGTGTAAAATTACACAAGTCTGTGTAAAAAAGGTAGTGATGATTCTTCATTGTCTCGTGAAATCAAGGAAAGATAAAATATGTCGAAATCGTTTGCGCCATTTTGTTACGAAAATGGATCCGTTTTCGTAACGGGCTTTGAGTTCCTCCATAGTGAAATTGCTAGGGCTCTGATTTTAACTCCAAACAATTCCATGTATTCCTCAAGTTAAAAAATATATATGCTTGCTCAAGTGCCAATGGGTAAACTCAAACATGGTTTCAGAACACAGCGAGAAAAAGAAAACATCTAAGAGTACACCAGTCATAAAACCCCAACTATCCTTTTAAAACCATAATCCATCGTGAAAAGAAACGGTCTAATACCCCTCCCCCACACGTAGATACATACACGTCACAAGTCCCTGTCTCTACATCAAGAACCTGACCGGAAGGACACTGCAGGGTCTCCTCTGTACCGTTAAAACAGTAGATATAGTACGTGCACCCTGATTCACATAATGTATTGTCGGGATCTACTGCACAATCACATTGATCACACCAGGCTCCTAGAACGCAGATGCAAGTTCGAAATTCAGTTTTTAACCAATCGATTTGATGCTGTCATGCATGAATAACTAGGTGGCAATAGTGTTTTGGTCTAGTTTCCATTAAAGAGTATGCTACAACCGTCAAAGATCACTTGATCTCTTGATTGAACGAATATTTCTAATAGACTAGATGCGAGTAGAAATAATCTTGATTTACGTCATTAATTATTCAAAATTCGGTCAAAGTGATGTCATATTTGAAATCTGCATGTAAAAGTACATCTAGAAATATGATTTCGAAAATTGTCTATCAACTTTGAAAATTTAATTTTTTTTGAAAATGTGACTTCTTGTTCGGGTTGATTCCCCATAGACCCCATATTACAAAATCACAAAAAGTGAAATATCTTTTCTTGTATTGGACAGATAACATTTTCTTTTACTGGAAATATTTTAATTTGCAGAACAATTAGATACATAAGGGTTATATGAAAATTGAACCACGCAAATAGATGTAATTTAAGTTAAAGGGAACTTTCTACTATACCCGCCATGCTATCTGACCCGAACGAGCCACCTGGTGGTGAATCTGGTAACTACCTACTCGCATCTGCGTTATTGGAAAATCAGTGACATACAGCAACAGTAGATGACCTTCTACAAATAGTGATACACTCGATTACTCTGGTTACCCGGTAACAAAATGTCGGAACCTCGGAGGTACGATTTTTCTTTTTTCCTTATTTCACGCGTTGTGGGGAAATTTTTCACGACATTTTTATCACAAACATGTGTCAGTATCATATGTTTAAGAAAATGTACATGTTTGCGAACAAATAGTTCAGAAGACAATAGAATCGTCAATTTAATACCTCACTTAAGTTACGTAAACAGAATCGGTTAGAAATGCAAATCTTAACCGTTTTTCCGTTTACGTAACTTAAGTGAGGTGTTAAATCGACGATTCTGTGGTCGTCTGAACTATTTCTTCGCAAACATGTACATTTTCTTACACATATGATACTGACACATGTTTGTTATAAAAATGTCATGGGGATTTTGCAATACGTGGAATAAGGATATGGGAAAAATCGTACCTTTGAGGTTCCGACATTTTGTAAACGAAACGGTTCAGCGTAATCGAGTGGATCACCAGTGTACCCGAAGCAGGAAGGAACAGAGTTTTTTTTATGTCTAGACCCCTACGTTCGGAGGATGAATTGTAGAAGTCAATACGAATGAGAAGAAAGCACTTAATTATTGAAACCAATATTACTTATGAAAAATTGTACAAATGAAATTTTATATCATTTATTAAAAAAGAATGTCGATAAAAAGTATATTCTCTATAAAACAAAATATGTATTCGATTTTATTCCGATTTTTCCAGAATAGGAACAAGTACCCGCATGGCGGTAGTTATGCGAGGCAACTGCTTGCAATGGGCCTCGCCAAAATTTACAAAAATATACAAATAGTCTCGCCTTTTTAAATTCGCCTGGCCGAAGCGCGTTCTATTACTTACCTATGAAAAGAGAAGATGCAATTGCAAATATCGTGAAAAAGTTAGAACTTGCCATTATTTTGATCTTAAACTTATTCTTGTAGCTGAAAATATAATTTCATATATTTGTATTATTTATATGTTTTATTGATTCTATGATGTCATTACAATGACATATTAATGATATACTATATAATAGTAGCCTATATACGTGCTAAAATGAACTATAGCAAAGTTTATCGCGGTAGCTAGATTAATTCTGTACCTAAAATAAACAGGCATACACAGGGTGTGCTCCTAAAATAAACCGATTGTGTTATTCACATGGTGACCAAGTGACTCACTGTACTCCGCGTTCTCCATCGTGGCGTACAAACGGAAGTTTACGAAGTGTTTTCAGTTGAAACTGGTACCTGGTAAGTATCGAATATGCAATTTTGTCTCGTTTATTAACTTTTTCTAATTTCACTTTCACCCATAGGCGGAGGTTAAGTACTATAGTAAACCATATAAGAATTCACAGGTAAACAATTAGGATTGAAAAATTTTCAAAAACTTGCCGTCTTGGTACGAGTTCTCCTTACTGGTATCGAGTCGTACCACCAAATCTCCCAAGAATCTTCTCCAAAGTGTTTTCAAAACGTATATTGTTGAATATTTCAAATCTATATCCTAACTCTTCGATAAGACTGCATAGAAAACACCAACTGTACGAATCTGCAATTGCCCGGCAAGTTGAAACTTCCAGATACATGGAAAGATTGAATCTTGTAACGATTGATTTCATTGGTTGTAATTAGAAGTTTAAAATTCCAAGAAAAATGTTAATTTCACCATTTAAATTGGGTTTAAAAAGATATTATATGAAACAGATGTTTTGATAAATAATTATTAAGTACACCTTTTATAATTTTGTACACTTTAATTGATTGTTATATCTAGAATATGAATTACATTTTAGAGAACCAGATAGGTGTCACTGGTGGCGGTTAGCAGGAACCAATTAAATTCCTTGTTTCAAACTTCCATTTACACGGAAATCCGGGTAACTTGCCAGACAATTGTAGGTTTTCAGAATATCTCGCCTCGAGCGGCTTTATTCACTCTATATCACTTGAATGGGGTTGATTCATAGGTAAGAATTGCGAACTATCAATTTTGGATCAACTCTGCATTGTTTTTTGAAAAATTATACACAAATAATGTTAAAATCGCCATGTTAACAAGTGGCCTAAATCCTAGTTGTTCACCTGTCTCTTCTATATACGGCTTACTTTTACTTTACCCTTGGCCTATGCTTTCACCAATTTTCTCAGGAGCAGGTCAGATTTACTACGGTTGGAGACGTGGAAGGCCTAAGAGGGATTCTACTCATAAGAAAACTGTACAATGTGAAGTGTGTGATCATGAACAGCTTGGGGTCAAGTAATATTAGTATCCTGCATATGACACAGAATGTGGCAAACAATTGATAATATTGGTCATGTCTGAGAACATACTCGTATACCAAGAATGGGTCATACTTATTAGACAACCCTGTACATTTCGAATCAAACACGCCCAAAATCACTGATAGCGAGTGAAAAGCACATCTGGTCTTAAAAAGGTGATATTATAGCATAAATGCAATGGGAACAGTTCTAAATCTTACTATATACTGTAATATGTCCGTTGGTGTGTGTGTGTGTGTGTGTGGGGGGGGGGGTTGAGGCTTCGAGGGCAAAAAATAAATAGCTAAGTGGCAATCCCGACATCTATGATACTGTGCTTTATATTCATTCCGCTATTTATTATATTATACTAGGACGTGGTATGATCGGACATAGACTCCGCCAATTTAATTCAAGCACAGGTTGACGTGTAATTCAATTGTCTATTTTCCACTACTTGCAAAATGTGCTCTTCAAAAGAATAAGAGGCAAAAATTAAGCAAAAATGTGATTTCCAATGAAAGAAAACAATTTTGAAAGTGACTCCTGACCATGGGCTCTACCTGATAGAGCCCATGTCCTGACCAAAAATAGTATTTTCTAGCGTTGGTGCATCACGTGCATTGCATCACTGAGGTTTTACATGTTCAAAATTCTCTGATTTTTATCATAAATTAGGGACCATTTTTGACGTTATTTCCCAATCAGACAATTTATGCTCGGTATAAAGTTTGCTTTATTTGTACAATTTAATTCCTTTTGATGGTATTAGAACATACTTGGCCTAAAATGCAAGGTACAAACCTATTATCGCCCATCTCAAAATAGATCGTTTTTTCTGTATTCTCAGTCTTTTACCCAAGAAAAATTTATACATCTCTCTTATTTCCATCTTTGCACATACCTCGAATATCTAAGGTTATCAAAAAACGATAAATTACTGAAATACTGTAAAATATTAACCCAAAATGGGGGGGGGGTCGCCTGCATAATTGCCGGAAAGGGTGGGTTCGACATTTTTTGGTCAAGAATTATTTTTTTTGGGGGGGGGTACGCACGAACCCTCCGAACCCCCTCTCCCTACTGTTATGAGACAATAAACACCGAGTTGTAACAGAGCATAAACAGAAACAGTTTCTACTTGATCAGTCATTTATTGAATCCAGAACGAGGCTATGACGTCACATCACATTTAAAGGGATGCTATAACTTTAGTCTAACATGATTATATGACACCTACGGCCCTGAATAAGCTTAATTCTTTCAAGATCATGCAGTTTTTACCATTCTGAGCATTTTTCATTTAAGTTTTGGCCAAATGAGGAGGAAAATTAGCGCAACAGATTTTGGAAGTCATATGTTGGATTTTGGCCATTTTCTGAGGATTAAACTGGTGCATATGTTAGGCCAATGCATCAACTCCAGAAAAGCACTTCTAGAGATGATAAAATAATTTCGACTTAGATGTAAATGCAAACAACCCACCCACGTGTTTCTCTAGCTGAAATGTTTTCCTGATTTTCAACAGCTTCCATCTCTGCTTTTTTATTTTTTCTTGCATCAATATGTTGCGTTTTGACACACCCCTTTAAAGGAATAGGTGATTCCTTGTATATAAATTTAAAGTGGAAAAAAACACTTCCCATGTTATTTTCACATAGGGAAAACTCATGCGATCCATTGCTTTCAGCTAAATTTGGTCACCCATAATGGATATCTTTAAAACCCCTGAAGGATGGGTAGATGGGTCCTAGTTTTGTTTTATTTTTTTAGTTTGTATTTCAACTAACATCTGTATGTGTAAACAATTAATACGATTATATTAGATAATTACCAATTACAAACAATTCCGCAAAAATACAGTACAATACATAATATTCAAAACTTACTTCTTTCACAAAAAGCATGGTTGCAGTACGTTAAATGATTAAGGTAGTCATATTTTTTACCATATTTGCTGTAATCTAAAAAATAGTTATGTTTCCATCAAATTGTTAGAAAAATAAAAATATCAATCCTACTCTCCAAAACACTGTTTCAAAATGAAAGACTTAAATTCCAAAATTGACATTCCGTGTCTAATTTTAACATAACAAAATCTGTGCACCTTAGTTGATGGAAAACATAGGAAATATCGCATTTATGGTCGGAATTACTCATGGTAAAATAAATAGTTGAACATATTTAAGCTCCCTTTTCAATTGTAATCAATTAGGATGTCTCTGTATCTTAAATTATTAACCCTAATGTCTGCAGGTGGGGGGGGGGGCAAAGTTTTTTGTCTCTCCGTTATTTTTGTAGCTTGAGCCACAGATATAAGGCACTTTTGGCGTAAAAACCAAGGTGATTTGCGGTAGAGGGGCAAAGTTATGATAGTTGGAACTTGATGCCAATAAAATTAAAATTCAGTGAAAAGTTTTAGGGTTCAAATGTTTCATATTTCATTCGACATTGCAAGAATGTATTTGCGCTTATACTATTCACATAGGAACGGGACCCTGCTTACATGTAAGTATATGTTTGAAAGCTTTCCTGTAATCCTTGCTCCTAGTAAGATAGACAATGACATTTGTGAATGAATTGCAAACAAGTAAAGTTCCAGTAATGTAGTTTACATTTGCATTAATAGAATTCCCGGGTTGGATTGAATAAAGGAATAAACAAACAAAAAACGGAACATAGCAAATGACAAAAGATATCAGTATGAAACTTATAAGCTTAGCAACTCTTGACATACGACGTGACCATTGATATTGAAGCCTGTTTTGATGTACGTCATTATTTTGCAAATCACTCTGAATCTGATGTGATCTGATGCGTTCCGTAGTTGAATTGGAACATCCATGAGTTGAATCGGGCAATTGAAGATTCTGACCGTTGGATGCGTTATTTGAACTGAAACATCTAGGAGTTGGATCGCGCAGTCGAAGATTCCGACCGTGGAATTCGTTATTTGAGCTGGAACGTCCAGGAGTTGAATCGGGTAATCCTGGATTCTGATCGTCGAATTCGTAATTTGAACTGGAACATCCAGGAGTTGGATCGCGTAGTCGAAGATTCCGACCGTGGAATTCGTTATTTGAGCTGGAACGTCCAGGAGTTGAATCGGGTAATCCTGGATTCTGATCGTCGAATTCGTAATTTGAACTGGAACATCCAGGAGTTGGATCGCGTAGTCGAATATTCCGACCGTGGAATTCGTTATTTGAGCTGGAACGTCCAGGAGTTGAATCGGGTAATCCTGGATTCTGATCGTCGAATTCGTAATTTGAACTGGAACATCCAGGAGTTGGATCGGGCAGTCGAGGATTCTGACCGTCGAACTCGTTATTTGAACTTGAACATCCAGGAGTTGGACCGAGCAATGGTGGATTCTTGCCGTTGAATTCGCTAGTTGAATTGGAATACCCAATATTTGGATCAGGCGATTGGAGAGTTTGACGGCAGAATCCAGAAGCGCTCTTCTCTAAGGTCTTTGGATTGTCAGTCTTCAAATTTTGGTCAATATTGAAAGGTGATACTCTAATATGTCTTATGTTTGTTCTAAAGTACCTTTTAGAATTTTGTGGTACTACACCATGTTCTTTAAGATGTGCCACGTGTTTGTGAAGATTCCAGAATGTTAGACATTGTAGGATGAGGAGTACTATCAAGTGTAGAAACATGATGATACATACCCCTATCAAGTGATTTTCATGGATAAGGCCATTGCCCAAATGGCAAGCTTTGTCTATACGCTTGTTTTTATGAAACAAAGTAAAGCTAATGCAGTACACTAGCCATAGAGCTACTGTCACTACGATGAGAGCAAAAGCAGTTTTCCTACTAAATGCCCCATTTATACATTTTCGCTTTGTTGCTAGAAACATTTCAATCCATAGCAGTAGAACTCCTGACATGGTTACTCCTGCTGATGAGTTTACAAAAACGTTAATGATGATACATGGCATTGTCTTGCTTAATGTTCCAGATAGTTCTAAGATTCCTCTCAGGGCTAATAATGCTCCAAATATACTGTCATTCATAGCTAAGTGACCACGAAATATATTTGAAACTGTCTGCAATTTTTTATAGCGCTTAATTGACGCGACGACTAAAAGATTCACAAAAAATATTATAACTGCTATTGCGATCTGCAGAGTTGGTGCTAATAAATTTCTGTTTCCTGTCATTTCACTTGCTCCCTGCATTCGAGTGACATTTGTACATTTGTCATCACTGCTGAGAATGAGATTACTAAAAAGTGTGCAGTTAGCCATCGTGACTGCTCTATGGCTGACGATTCTGAGTCTTCAGCTCAACTACTCAACTTGACACTATGTATGATATTATATAGGCGTGGTGGAGAACATCATGTATTATTTACCTTATTAACCCACCGAACGTAGTTTGAGCTGGGATAAAGATAAGTTGTCCTTCCGTCTATTCAGTCTATCAAAATCTGATTGGAACTATACCATCGGATCACTGTGGGAAATTCCTAATGGAGAAAATTCTTGGGATTGGAAGGAATGGTACATTTACCATTTGAGAAATTATTGGCATACATGAAACCTATTTAAAAAAGCATTTATATTATTTAATAGCAAATAGGATACATGATTCCCAGTCCTCTGAAGTTGAAAAAAATAAACATAACCTGGGTATTAATCCATAGATAATCTCTGAAAATGAGAAATATTTTTTTGAAGTAATATCGTGCAATCTTATAGTCAATAAAATGTTTAAAGGTGTGTTGATGTTTTTAGAGGAAAAACACAAGCGAAATGCATGAAAAAACTCCCTCAATTCATTCCACAAACAACTAGCGGTCCTTTAAGGAAACTAAGAGAGTTTCAGTTAGGTATATTCCGTTCATTTAGGAGTACTGGGTTTTAGGAGGAATATTAGCCGACTGCCCAAGGGCTTATTTAATACCCGGGGCTTAGTTGTGTGCCAAACAAAACGAGAAACGACATGCCATTCGGGGCTTTGTTTGGTCTTCATTAGACAATGGTGTATACCAAACGCCAATTTGCGAACGTTCCGGGTATTACGTTCGCCCTTGGACTGCCTTGGCCCGAGGCTATTAGTTCCCCTCAGACCCAGTGCGAATGGTTTATCTAACTTAAACCCACACTGACTTATGAATGACCCATGGTCCAATTTTAGATTTCTTTTGTATCGACTATGAGGTAAGTGTATTAAAATGTGAGTTGTTGTAAAAAGTTCAGCTTCAGTGCAATGCATGTAACAGAGTTTAATGTCTGATTCCCTTTGTGCATCGTGATAAACCATGACACCTCAAATCTTCTCAGCCCTGAGATGTTTCAGGTGAAACAGAAAGATGCTATGAGGATCAGAATGCCCTTTGTGTTTAACATTCAACTATTGAATATGGTATGATTAGTTCAGCTTCAGTGCAATGCATTGTAACAGAGTTTAAAATCGGATTTCTTTTACGTTTACTATTCAGCTATTGAATATGGTATGATTAGTTCAGCTTCAGTGCAATGCATGTAACAGAGTTTATATCTGATTTCTTTTGCGTTTACTGTTCAGCTATTGAATGGGTGAATATTGTATGGTTAATTCAGCTTCAGTGCAATGCATGTAACAAAGTTTAATATCTGATTTCTTTTGCGTTTACTATTCAGCTATTGAATGGATGAATATGGTATGATTAGTTCAGCTTTAGTGTTTAGTTTATTTCAAACAAATAAAAGTTCTCGGGTCCATAGTTTTACAAATATAACAATACGTCATGTTTACATCAATTTAGTAGCTCCTGCCTTAAATTAAATGCTTTGAAGCAGAAAGTAGCTAAGTTACATACATAATTTACCCCTTTGTAGACATTAAATTAATATAGTTTTGTTGTGATGGTAAAATATAATAATACCTTTTGATGTAATCTCCCCTTAGATCAATATATGACGGGCAGATTAAAATAAAATGAAATACATCCTCCAAGATATGTATACCTTGGTATGATGCACAAAGAGGGTATATGCGATTCTCCTTTGAAATATTTTGATGTCTACCAATTTCAATTTTCAGTTTATGATTGGAACATCTTAACCTTGTTAAAGCTCTTCTATATTTGACAATATTTGCTTCTGATAAATATGTTTCAACTTTTGTTTTGCCTAAATTAACTTTCATACCCCAGTTTTAACAAAACTGCTCAAGAATTCTGATTTGACCTTCCTAGCAATCTACCAACAGTTCATTGGCTATATCATCTGCATATAGCAGCATTACAACATTATTATGATTTTTGTTTACATATATTCCATTAAAATTTGCTTTCATCATTGAAATTAACTGATTTAAATACATAATGAATAGCTGTGGGCTAAGCATACAGCCCTGTCGTTTGCCAACAGAACATGCAAAATACTCTGTTAATGTGTTAGAAAATGTCTCAGAAGATTCTGGATTCTGGATTCTCTTACATACGACCTTAACTTTTCATACATAGATCTAATCACCTTTATTATATTACCATGCATATTACAGTTTTTGATCAATTGATACCATAATAAATCATTCATATGTTTTCTTTATTTCATGATAACATGTCATACAATACAGTAGTACAGCGCCTACGCCTAGGGATTATTGGCCCTGTTTAAATTAACTATATAACAATACAAATATAAAACATGTTTGGTTAAGAAAAGAATCAGGAAAACTTGAAGACAGGGTAGAGGAATGTATATACAGGGTATCAAAAAACAACGGCACCCCCATCTACAGCAAAAAGTGCTTAATGTTACATGGTGTGTCATATCTCATTTTAAAGACAATTTAATTCTGGAGTTACCATATATAATTTTACAGATTTACAGCTGATTCTTGGTAGTTTGTATGACCACCAGTTGCTGCTCGAACAGCAGCTTACCTGGATAGATGTGATTTCAATAAAAATTCAGATATAGGTGTATTATTGAATTGTGAGTTATTTACTGACTTCCCTGAAGATAGCAAGTAAAAAATCAGCTGTAAGTTCAATAACCTTTTTATTTGTAATTGAGTCAAGAGATGCATCGGCAAAAAGTAAAAGATAGTACCCTGTCTTCCTGTCTTCTATGATTAAAGGAGTTTAAATTAAAGGATTGCAGTCCCCCTAGTTCTCTGTGGAAGTTGAGTCTTAAATTATTAAAAAGAGGACATTGGAGCAAAAGGTGTTTGGTTGATTCAGAAGATTGACCACATTTACATTTGGCATTTGGGATATTTTTAAAGTTATGTGTAAATAGGTGTTGCCTAAAAATTAAATCACATCTTGTTTTATTTAGAACCATTTTCTTTTTCTCTGTTTAGGTTTAATTTTGGTGTAGTAAATTCCTTCTTTTTACCATTTAAAAATGTTCCAATTTGATATTTAAAAGAGTTGCGTGAATTTGCTCACCAGGTAACTGATTCCATAACTTAATAAAAGATAAGGCTGTGAATTTTCTTAATTTAGTTGATGCTTTAGGTGGGATAATGAAGCTATTTGTGCGTCGCAGTCTAGGATCATTTACTTGATTCCTATGCTGTTCAAAAACATTTGGGACATATGCTAGAATTTTGTAATTTGTTGCAAGATCAAACATAGAAACCAACAGGGTTCGTACACACCTGGAAATGTCAGGGAATTCTAAAATTGGGTCAAAAAGGGCCAAAAATGTCAGGGAATTTTGAAACAGTAGATATGTCAGGGAAATGTCAGGGAATTTTGTATCAGAATAAATAATGTTCCAACAAAATACATTTTAGAGCTATGACAGGATATCAATGAAATCCAAAATCTAACATTTAGATGTTTCCACAAATCGGAAATATTTTTATTAGGGTTGATTGAATGAGATTCTATCTGGCATTGTCTTTTGGTCAGAACAGTGAGAACATTATACTGAAACCGAACAATAAAGAATATACAATTATGCCTTAGGGACAAAAGAAGAAACATTCAAGATGGTCTCTGAATTCAAAAAGGCCAGCATTTTTTATGAAATTCTTGATAATTTAAAGAAAAATGTTTCTTGGTAACACAAATACCAATAACTTGATTTGGTATCATAGGCCTGTGCCTTAGAGTGACACTACTTGAGAAGAGATTTCTGATGTGGTATCATATGTTGGTGCAGATTTCCCAAAAGGAAGAAGACAAGACAGGTTCACATAATGTTCGCAATGATCAGTATTTGATAAAATATGTTTCATTATGTGGAAATTGCCCATCTGGCCTCAGGGGAGTTGCTATTTTCTAGTATGATTTTTGATCAAAATTTTCTGTTGTCATTTGGATTTATTACAAAACATTAACAATTTATTGTTTGAAATTCTAAGAATGCACCATAAACAATGTAAATTTACAAAAATTTCCGGGGATGAACCCCCGTACCCCCTTTTTGGTTTCACTTGCTTGCAGTGATGCAAACCCAAAAAAATACAACCCTTTGACATTTGCTGGCTACACACCTGTACACCCCTTATGCAATGTAAAATTAGAAAATATTGGTGAATAAGGTTTAAGAAGTAAAGTCATAAGGAGGATTGGCTCTTAGAGTGCAACATCGATATTCTGTTCCATATTCGAACTTTGCTCACTTCAACATTTGTATCATGAATTTTGGTCTTATTTCCTAACGAGAAATCCCAAAACTCACAAGAAATGATCGAGATATTGGTGGTTCGAATCTTCTGGACTGTTTATTGTGATTAATCGGTTATAATTTCAAAAAATAAAAATATTTTCTTTGTTTGGAAATAACGAGTTTCGATCCTTGGAGCCAATCCTCCTTGGTGAAGTCATGAGAAATGGTACAAAAAGAGAAACCCAAAATGTTTCAAAATAAGTTTTTCAAATATCAGTTGTTTGAGACTTTTTAGTAGGCCGTGCAAGCAAAACTAGATCTGGATATTTCCTTTTTTGTCTGGAAATGTCAGGGAAATGTCAGGGAATTTTATTTTGAAAAAAGTGTACGAACCCTGACCAATTTTCGATCAGATAAAGTTCTCCAACCCAGACATGTCGTAACTTTCTCCGAATTTGAGCCTTGGATGCATCCACTTACTATAAGACCGGCTCTACATTGGACTCTATCTAAACTTGCTAAGAGGTTTAGATTTGCGCTGTCAAAAATAATATTGCCATATTCAAGATGTGGGAGAATGAACGCCATGTAAATAGTTTGCAAATGCTTCGATCTTACAGAAAATTTGAGTGGATTTAGCATTTTATTGCAGCTAGTAATTACAGAATTAATATATGTTCTTCAAAGGTAAG